AGTACCGTACTTCTCTGAGACTCGAGTCAGATCTGGAAAAAATTGTACTTCTATTTTGCAATTGTTTAGTGTTGCCACTCAGATGTGCTGATTCGCTTTGAACCGATATTTTTTTAACGCTTCGAGATATTTTTTGTTGCAAAATGACGTCCGAAGTGAAAAATAACCAATGAAAAATGAATCCAACGTCAGCAGATATCGGTTTCCATTCGAGTTCCCGAGGCGARCGACCACRTGTCATTTTCTGTCTGATGCCAGTTGTTTAACTCAGTCAAAATGCAAGGTTATTTGGTTTTGTACTGTGCCAGTTAAAGTACTTTGTAATCAGGAACAAAATCACACCTAGAAATAACGCCAATTCTTGGCCACCCACTCCTGTAAGAACTTTGGTGGCTGATTAGTAGTTCTAAGCCGGCAGAGCATCATTTGGCTTCCCACCAATRGCATGGATCTCTAAGTAATTATATCAACTTGGACTGGGCACTTACTAGCTACTACTAGTCTGGTGATGGTCTAGTAGAGTTGTYTTTAATACTAGAGTTCTGGCCTATTTTCTAACCAGCAGCCAGTCTCAAAACTGGCCAATTTTGGCCATACAAGCTGTTAATTGAGAACCACCAGTTCCCCCCAGCCCTATAATTGTGTAACAATCACACAGGACACTGGTGCTCCCAACATTATAAGGAAGCTTTTCCCCAAAGAAGAGCTGCTTTCAAGCCATACTACTGGAGCAATTCTAAGAAAAATGTACTGTTRCTACTATTAGTAAACTGTTTGCAGTGGAAAAAGTGACCAAAAACTACTAGTTGATCTACATAGAATCTCCTACTACTAGTACTACTACTAAATACTGCTGGGCTTCAAAATTACCTTCAATTTTACTAGTAGTAGTAATATTGTTTTGCATGGAGTAAAGTTACTTTTTCCAAGTAGGGTTCAGTAGGTTTTTTACGGTTAATGCATTTTATTACCAATTTACTGGTGCTGGTACTTCTTCATGGTATGGTAGCCAATGGAACTGGTGCATTCTCTTTGTGTCAATTCTTCACTAGGTAAAATGAATCATATCAACAGGGTGTTCAAAATGCTACTAGTACAAAGTAATTTTTTGAAATTCAACTGCCATGTCTCTCTATCATACTACAGCTTTCCTGCTTGTTCTTGTACTTTCAATATTCAACACARAGGGTACCTACATTCAGTTTCAAGCTCTGGTAGTRATACTACTAGTAGGAAGGTGCAGACACCACAAAACCCATAAACCTACCCACGCTGCCTACATCACACCAGCTGGTGTGTTGTTGTTTCTTCTTTTTGTTGCTTTCTTGTTGAACTGCTGAAAAAGTCTCATAGTAAAAGAAGAACTATGTTTCATGGACTTCTGGGATGAAAGGTATACAGTATTTGCACAAAAAAAGTTTGGAATTTGCTGATTCAATTCTGCGCACCCCAACTGTGTAATAACATTTTACATTTTGTTGAAAGTAGAGTTGATTGCCTCTAGATAAGCACTCTGCAGTCAGACCAAACTGATTGAAATTTCAGTCCATCAGTTATGAGTCTAGAACACTCTGTCCAACTCTGTGATTTACAAAAACCTTGAGCCAATGCTATTAGTATGCTCTTTACTACATTCAATGAAATAAGATGAGAATCAAGGTCAAGGGCCGCTGCGATACAATCACTTAATGTTATTCAATGACAGACAAGAAAACTCTCCTTTGAACTGTTTAGCATACAGACAGGTGG